TGTGTGTGTGTGTGTGTGTGTGTGTGTGTGTGTTTGGGTGGGGGGGGCTCACACTCGCCCCCACACAGCTCCAGGCCCAAAAGTGACTCACACAGCCGTGTGGATCTCCAGGAACACGCTGCTCTATAAGCCGATTCCACTCTAAATGGATCTTTAATCAAGCGTTTGTGTCACTGTTTTATTTTCTAAACCGCTCTCAAATCAGACCCTGCAGACCAGGGCTGCTCACATTTTTTCAGCATGGGAGCGACTTTTGAAATGACCAAGTCAAAATCATCTACCCGTTATATTTATTGAGAAATATATTGAGGATTCTTACAACTTATTTCAATGTATAACCACATATGGATGTATAACCACATATTGCGACTGGCAGACGAGACAAACACACTTTCAAAACGTTATCGTGAAAAAAAAGTCCTCCTCCTATTCCGTATGAGAGTGATACGTTTTTTTCTTCTTACTTGGTCCAGCTCCCCCACTCATTTTCATAACCTATCTTACGTTAAAGAAGAAATAAAAAATTAGGATGTAACTAACGACTAGCTTGTTAGCTTATCTGCGCTCAGGGGCTAACTAACGCACAATTACCTAATTGTACTGAAAAAAATCAGATGTCATCTAGATCTGACTGGTTGTCTTGTGGATCACTCAAGTGACGGGATGGATGATAGCCTGACGTCTAGTTTTTATTCAAAACCACTCAACTTTATTTGTATAGCATCAGTTCATGACAATGTCACATCACCTTGTCATGCGATCTACCAACACATTGGAAATCAACTGGTAGATAGCAATCGACGTATTTAGCCCCCCTGATGTAGACAAACAGACACTTACGTTGTCAGCCACCGGCACCAGGGCCAGGTTCCTCTGGACCTCGTCGCTGTTCAGAGCCAGCCCCATGTAGTCGCCGAGCTCCTCCAGGTTAGGATACAAACCTGCCAGGATGAGGTGGGAAAAGGAGAGGAGGAAGAGGATGGAGAGCGACAGACAGGTGGTGTGAGGAGAGAAAGAACACACAAGATGCCAAAAATTAAGAGATATAACGTCAAATAGGAGATAAGCTTGTTCCTGTATAAGTATTAGCAAAACCACTTTCTTAGGGAGGTTATACTAGCACACGCCACCACCTATGTCCTTTTTACATGATCTGCCTTATGTTTTTATATTATATATATTATATATATATTATATTATATATCTGTCCATCCCAACAGGCTCCAGAACACCAAAACACCAAGCTAGCAGTCAGTTAGCAGTAAAACCTTCCTGGCATCAGCAGGCTTTCCCCGCTTATGAAGGAGAGCCATTATAAGCCATTACATTACAACGATCACATCTTTGCTTTGTTTGCTCTGTGTGTCCTCACTTAAAGACCAGGAAGGCTTCAGATTTCATTTATCTGAACTTTTATAAAGCCCTCTAAGCAATCATGGAAGCCCTGACACAATGGATGTTGGTTATTACTGTAAATGCAGTTTAGAGCTTATAGTTGGAGTATTTCCACCCATAGTTATCCCGCCATAGGCCTAGACTGCCGGGGGATTTCCCACCATGGTTCTGCTCCAGGTTTCTGCCTCTTAAAAGGCAGTTTTTCCCTCTCTGTGTCGCCTAGTGCTTGATCTTGGTGGGAATTGTTGTTGTTCTGTAAATAACTTCAGAGTCCGGTCTGAGCTGCTCTGCTTGGAAAGCTGGGAGATAACTGCTGTTGGGATGTGGCGCTATAGGAATAAAATTAAATTTAATTGAATCATTAGTAGCTCCGTCTCTACAGGGCTCTTTGGTTAATGATTATTCAGACTGTCCTCATGTGGACACATTTGTCCACTGTTGGTCTGCTGTCAACCAGCCAAAGTCGATCTTTGACTCCTTCCGTGAGCTTATGGACACTTCAGGATGTGAGGATTTGAATCCAAAAGCTACTGATACTAAAGATTAGGGATGTCCCGATCCAGCTTTTTTCCCCTCCGATCCGATCCCGATCCCGCCTATCCCAGCCTATGTATTAAAGTTTAAAGTTATTTATCTACTTACTTAGTTGTCAGACTCATGTTGAACAAGGATTTACTCTGATAACAACTTAATGGTTAGGACACAGACCTGTGGGTTAGGAGATGCTAATGCTAATGCTAGCGCTAATGCTCGTGTGGGATCAGACTAAAAAAATAAACTGGATCTGCATTTTCTCCTGCCGGCCGATAAGCATTTTTTTCGCGAATATCATCTTCCGATCTGATCCAGATATCGGATCGGGACCAGCCTACTAAAGATATTCCATATGTGTCTTAATATGAAGCAGGATCGTATCCGTGTGGACCCTCTCTCTCACACACAGCCGGCCCACATCTTCCTACTCCCGGCCACACTCGACTTTCCCCCGAGCTGAAGGCCAGAGGAAGCCTCCTTAAAAGACGAGACCACCTCCCTGCCTGTTGCTGTCCTCCCTTTTCCCTGTGAGCTCCCTCTTACCCCCCTGAGGCTCCAACTCCCCCTCTGTCCCGGCACAACTGCCAGAGCCAGTTGTCATGGTGACTCACAGTGAGCTCGGCTGAGGTAAAAACAAAAGAGCAAAAGCTCACAGGACGTTTCCATCCAAACGGGAGGGAGCCTGAACGAGTGGGAGAAGCAGAAATCAGGCAGCCTCCAGTCCCTCGCACATCTCCCGCCTATTTTTATTCCTCTAAAGAGGTCCTTTGTACTTTCACACAGAATTACACTGAAAGGTTTTCATCCACCTCCCTTAAACGCGAGCCGTTCCCCTTTAAAGTGAACAGCAGAGAATTGGGAAAGAAACCAGGAAGAGTGGCTGTGTTGTGAAATGTCAACCAAACGCCATCAACCAAAAGCACATTCCAGAAACTCTTAAAGGGGACATATTATGCAAAACCAAGTTTTTAATCATTTGATTATGTACATTTGGGACTGTGGAGGGCCTATCAGCAGGCAAAGTGTGAAAAAAAATGACTCAGTCATGTTTTTGTGGGCCGCCTCAGTCTGAATCCAGGAGATAAATCAGGAGGTTTCAGGAGTGGGTAGTTTCTGACGTCATTAGCTCTAGCTCATTATAATATTCCAGCCTTTCACCTGCATGTTGCCCCCCCCCCTCAGCTTACTCCCCTATCTGTGGAGACGTGGTGGTAGCGTGAGCGTTAGCATGGTAGCGTTAGCATGGTAGCGTTAGCGTTAGCATGGTAGCGTTAGCGTGCCGGCGTGGGCACACCTCCCTGAAGAAGTAGGTGGATTGCCTGTGTCTCATTTGCATTTAAAGAGACAGGCACTCCAAAGCGAGCGCTCTGAACGGGGCTGTTTTGGGTTAGGGTTAGGGTTAGGGTTAGGGTTAGGCAGGGGGACTGAACTGCTATTGGGCTTCATCCTTATGGGATTTTGATCAAAGCTTGTCACAGACATTACATTAGGACACCAGGGAACTAGCTTAACTTGTTGAAATAGGGTATAATATGTCTCCTTTAACGCGTGAGACTCACAGGATCCCGGCATCCCTGCAGAGGCCAGCTGGGGCTGATAGGCTCCCTCGGAGATGGCCGGCATGGGGGTGGTGGTCTGGGCAAACTGGGCCTGAGCCTGGAAAGTAATCAGAAACACCGCTCAACTGGAAGCACTCATGAATGGTGGTTTTCTGAATGCTGAATTAGGCCTGACTCTCTCTAGCAGAAATTCGAACGAGACGACAAATAATTCATTAAACTCTGAACAAATCTGTATCGTTAAAGAGGAAAAAATAAACAAAGATGTCCTGTCTTTCACCTCACGAAAACAAGACGACAAATAAATCATTAAACTCTGAACAAATCTGTATCGTTAAAGAGGAAAAAATAAACAAAGATGTCCTGTCTTTCACCTTACGAAAACAAGACGACAAATAAATCATTAAACTCTGAACAAATCTGT